GAACGGTTGAAGTTCTCTGACTACGTCTCTGAGCAGAGTGTCTTGGGCCACCGACACAACAAGAGTATCTACGCCGTCAGCGACTTCAGTCCACGTCCTGATGTTGCAAGGTCTATTCACTCGCAAAAGCGCAAAGGTTAGCTCCACCAAAGACGAAACGGGGGCAGCAAGCGCCTCTGTATCAATAAACCCTCCCAAGCTGGCCGTGATCAGTACAGTCCTGACCACGATTCGAAAAGGATGAGCGTCGAGAGGGACTGGATATCTGCCTGACCCGTCAGTTAATGACCCTGGACCAGCGGGAATCAAGAAAAGCCGGTTGATCCAGACTCCTCTATCTGCTGGGCTACAGAACGCCGCCAAACGTACGATGTCATGATGTGTCTCTGCCATCGCTATAAGAAGCTGATGGGTGAGAAACTGACTCGTGCGTTCCACTTGCATTAAGTCTCTGTCAAGTGTGCTATATAGCAACTGCAATCCGGACGTCTCGTCCGGAAATAGTATGACGAGACCACTCTGCAGAAGTTTAACCGTACGGCGAAGGTCTCTTAAAGTATTGGTCAATTCCTGGGCAGCTTCCAGGCCATGCATCAGCATTCTGACCGACGATGGTACTTGATGGCGATCATGTCTGAAGCGCGCATAGGCCATGAGTCTTGCGGATGAGATTGTAACGCAAATTTTGCTGTGTGTGTCTAGGGGCTGTCGGTAGGAAGAGTTATCTTTCAGGAAAAGCATGGGAACGTGATTAGGGGGATGCCTAACACAACGGATGGCCTAATCCAGGGGTTGAAGAAGGGAATCTCTCCTGAGTTATTGTGCTGGTCAGCAGCGACATGACTAAAACCGCCCTAGGCTACTGTCTCACTTTATCAGCCAAAAAAATTCAACAGTCATGTGCGAAAGGTCATGGACACGGATCTCAACTTGGCAAGTTTTGACAGATTTAGATGCTGCACAATACTAATTTGAATATCCCAGTGATAGCCTTCCGTTGCCCTGCTTTTTCAGAAGAGCGATCTGGCGTCTCCAAAGGTATACTGGGGCAATGCCAATGACTGTGGTGATGCAGGTTACCCAGCAAACAGTGCCGCATAGGCTTCACTGAGCATCTGCCAGCTCTGCTGTACTTGATAAATAGCTCTGTTTGCTTCATGGATCGAGTCATTATGCTGTTTCTGCAATAAAATGATCCTTTCGCTGAGGTGGAATATTCTTTCTTCCTCACTGGTACTGTTGGGGAATTTCCCAGCGATTGCATCACGGCAAGCTTGGGATTGCCGAAAGTCAAAGCAAGAACGATCATCTTCGTGAATCGCTCGATTAATTCTAGTGCGGTCTGTGAGAGCAATCCCATCTGCCTGGGGGGCATATACTTCGATGCGGTTTCCCAACAGGTTGTAAGCGTGCATAACTTCTGCAATAGTAGCACATTGTTGGGTACTTCGCGCTACGATGGCAAAGCGGCGTGCATTCGCCCAACAAGCATAGCCATAGTGTCGGATCTCAGCTGCGAAGGGGTAAAAACCCCTATGTGCTACCTCCACCCACTCCTGAAGGTACTCCTCATCAGTATCATGGGTGATGACCTTATGGAAACCGTGGGGTAGGCGTTCCCGTGAAACCACATTCCCGTCCGGTGGGAGCCACGTCTCATCATCCGCCCATAGGATGTTCCACTTCTCCATATGGATCCATACCCATGCCTCTAGTAGGTTGAAAGGTACACACCCTATTTCCATATTTTTGCAATGTCGGTGCATTGGGAAATTTCCTCGATGCAAACACACCATCGTATTAGAGTTGTTGGCAATGGGATCGACCGTGTAGCCCTTCCAGTGGTAGTTCTCCAGGAACGTAAGTGACGGCGATGCCATGGCTAGGACAGAGCTTTGTGGTATAAGGTAATTCACCCTTGTCGTTTCTCCTCCAGAAGAGATGTAGGGGAAATCGATTAATCAGGAGTCATGTTATCTGGCGCTTGTAAAGGCTGCAGTGTGCTTGTAAAACAGTCATGGACCCTGACAGGTGCAACCCGACTCGTCTACGGTCAGAGGAGCACCGTGTACAGGTGACTGTGTTGCAGGTAATAGCACGTGTTGCCATGATTGGTAGTGGACACAAGAAATATACTACACTCAAGGTCACAAGGAAGCAGCTGAATTGAACATCTTGACTGCACGGCTTCGCGGAACTAGCACTAATCCTATTCTTTTCAGCGTGCTGCCTGCAAACTCCAGTGAAAACAGATCTTCTTGCTGGTGCTGTGAGCCACAGAACGACAAAACGGTTGCGCCGGTAAATGTCGACGTTAGAATGAACTAAGGCAAACTTAGCATACGGTCGATCAGCTGATGCCGTTTCATTGAAGTGTAGTGCAGTAACCCAGCAACATTGGTTGGAGCACATGATATGATTTCTGATGAAGAGTCATCAGATACAGATCAGTAGTTCAAGGGTTGGTACCGTTTTTAAGTGGTCTCTGTAATCCCGTTGTTGCGGAAGATACTGTAAACATGTCAATGCGCGTTCATTTTCTTGCTACGGCATTCACTGATAAAGAGGGCACTCTGTACACTCTTATGGCTCGGAATTGAAATTCGAATCAAGCTCCTCTTTCCTTCGTAGATGACGGTGTTGCATGATATCTTTCTGTGCAGCCTCCACGTCTGCTGCTCGTTCTTTCTGGTAGGTGACTGCGCTTCGTTCTAATTGCTCCAGCGCCTGCTGCGCTCTAGCAATATCATTCAGTAGATGCTGCGGAATACCCAGGAGGGTTTGCACTGTTGGGGCAGCTTTATTAAGAGTCTCAGCTGCCTCAGAAACCGTTTCTCGCAGCATACTGCTGATAGTGTATTCACTGATGGCTGCTGCCATTCGGATCAACTTGGCCTCCTCCATGGCTTCAGGGCTGACTCTGATGAGCTACTGTTAATAAGAGAGATAAATATATATATATAAGCATCAGTTAGCACAGGAATAGGGAATTCTCCCTTACAATGGAGTGACTGTTGGGTGGGTAGTTACAGTAGATGCCTGTCAGGTGAAACCCCGACACGTCTATGGCCGGAAAAACACCGTGTTCAGGCAAACTACCGAGTTGAACATCCTAGCTACGAAGTAGTCAGTACCAATTATACCATCATTCTAGTAGACACTCTAGAAGTTGATTTGAAAAGCGAACATCTTGGTCGGGGCGAGGGCCCGGTCCTAGGATCAGATCTCAATTAATGACGTACTAGGATATTGCCAATCTCTCAGGGCACTTTTGTCTCATTACAAATGATGGGGGACATTACCACAGAAAAATGCACCTGAGTTGCTGGCAGGGGATGGGTCATTACGGCAGATCTTAGAGAAGACGTTTGTCTACATTTGAGCCTGAGTGGCATGTTGCCAGTGCAGATAACGCACCAAGCAAGGCAATTGCCGAGTTTCGTCAATTCTACTAACAAAACGATAATTGGCAGGAGTGTGTGGTGATGTAAAATGATTTCTTTGCTTGACTGTACAAGAGGGGCTTGCCCATATTAAACTAATGGTACATGGGGATAGGACGAGGAGTTTCGCTCTGCAACAAGTCGAAAGCCTGGAGCCCTTTTGGTACTCAGCACACGTCGTATTGACCAATGGATCTCGTCGTACCACACGGAATGACCACTACTGATAGAACAGGGGGGGCACTAATGGCCCGCCCATCCCTTAAAAATTAAATAAAAACCTTGACTTAGTTTGTCAGTACTGAAATTGGACACCATCCTTACTGTATCAAAATATGTGAGCACATTTTTTCGGGTAGTTGCCTTGCCTGGTGTCGATGGTTATGCATATATTCATAGTTCATATCGATATTCGAGCTTTATCCCTGAGACATTTCGATCAATCTGAAGGAGGGAAAACATTTGCTCGAATGTCACGTAGTTCTTCATCTTCATCAGGCGCCAGGTCAATTTCTTGCGGGTAAGTGACAGGGATGAGCAACTCTCTTTGCGCAGTGTCAAGTACCTTTGCTAGATGTACTTTGTAGTCGGTGGTCATATGCAGAAGGTCTACCTGTTCTTTGATGCTCTCGTCAAGCTTTTGTCGTATATCCCTGGTCATCCAGGGGAGTTGTCTCACCTGCTGCTTGGCTTTGAGCAAGCTGTAGTGGGCACTCTGCAGGTTCTCCAGCAAGGCGCTACACACAGCGTGATGTTGGGAGACCTCCTTGATATGGAGAAGCCGTTCTTCATCCATCACCAACTCGGAGCTGCTCATGTTCAGGGAGCACGCCAAGAGACTGTGATTTAGGTTGGCTGTTTCCTCTAACCAAGTACACCTAGCCCTGGTACATTCCGGCAGCTCGGCATGCGAGATAGCCTAAGAAGTGGTTATGACATACTCTGAAACAGTAGAAAAATCACTCTTGCTCCTAATGATGCCGGCAGACAATTGAAATTAGGGAGGAAAATGCATGCAGTCTCTTCTTAGTACACATTCGTTCAGCACTGAGCCTCACAACTACCTCGCTAGGTATGAGAGAAGATGTATTGAGCCTGGTTGGTCTTTGAGCCAGAGTGTCTGCGATTGAACCACACAGTGCATAATGTTATGGTAGGCGGTGAAAATGGGACTGCAGGAGGAAAAGTCAGTTGATGACTCGCGACCCTTGGGCAGCCTGACCAGTTAGAGCAAGTCAAATATGTACACTGTGAAAGCAATGATCTTTTTTCTTACTATCGTTGTCCGCACTTTGCACGCAATCATACAAACTATCGTGCTGCTTTTGACTTACCGCCTAAGGCCTCATCGCTGTCGGCGGGCTGGTGTCTGGCAACGCAATCTCGGTTCGCTCGTCGAGCAGGTTGGGTTACTTCGTTGGGCTTGCCATTGATGGAAGAGGATAGATCGCTCTACCATGGTCACTTGGTGCTTCGGTCTGGGAGATGTAGTCAGGGTCTTCTGCATCTGCTCGTTGCCCGGGAGGATAATGCACGCATGCACGCCATTTCCATAGCCTTATGGGCCGCAGTCAGGTGTCCTAGCATCTGATGTGTCTCTGCTTCCTTTGGATCGATGGTGGCGATGACTTCTTCAAGTGAACTCTTGATCTTGCTGATTCGAGCGGGTTGATCCCAAGAGCGAATATGCTTCCTTTCCTCCTCTGCTTCTAATGCCATGGTTTGCAGTTGAGGGGAAGAACTGTGCACTCCATCACTCATAGAACTCAGTACGCATGGGGTTGTCTAGATTTGTGGTGCAAAGGTTGGCTTGAGCATACACACTGCGGGTGAGCGATGGAAAAGGAAGCTCCACGACATCCTCAAGTCATCTAATTATTGGACTGGAAGAGTAGCTATTCAGTAGATGTTATGGGTTGGGTAGCGCTATCGTTTGGATCTTCGACATTTTCAGGCCTGCTATTGATTCAAGTGGCTTCAAGCAGGCAGAATACGCTAATTGTTTCCCGATCCTTGCGTTCGACACACGTGATAATTGGTAGGCAAGGCCAGCTTATTCTACCGCGATGTCCTGCGCCGTTTAGCAGTGCGCTCCACAAAAGTTTCATATCCTGTTGTTGGCGCTTGCGTGTTCCATCGAATTCTACTTCTACCTTGTGGCACCGCTGGATCAGCTCTTTCTACCTGGTACGGCATTGCAGGCCCATGACAGTGATCATGGCATGCTTCACTCATTGTACCTATACTTTCCTTTGTCTCTGTCCACAAGTCTTTAATTCGAAATAGCAAAGTTTGTTCTAGTTGGAGATGCTGGAGCATACTTCGTTCAGCCGTCAAAATAGCCTCTAGGGATACTTCTTTGGGAATCCAGAGCCCGTCGTGCAACCAAATGACAGATTTAAGGTGTACTCGTCTGGTGAGCTCTTTATAAAAGGTTAACATAACACATTCTTCATACCATTCAAGCACACGAAATGTCGCCCCTTTGTCACTGTTGTGATAGCTAGGTCTTAGTCTAGGCAGATGGGTGTCAACCACTTTACGGGTAGCGCCTTCGATTATGGTGCTGAGGTGCACTAACGGTACTGGGCAGGAGAATCCTAGGTCTCGTTCCAGCTTTGCACAGGCAAAAGATGCCCCAGCATTCATCACGATTAGCGGGTGTTTCTTGATCGCTAGCTGACGTTGTTCTTGGGGGGCTAGCCCTAGCAAGTCATTGATAACTGCACGAAGATCAGTGATGGGTGGGAGATGGGAGTCCTGGCTGAGGCGCCTCATGATCTCATAAAAGGAGCCAGCCATGTCAACTTCTTGATGCGTCCGACCGAATAGAAGAAGCCGAACTGTGCGCGGAAGTCGCTGTGCACATGGGCCTCGTCCATATAGTCGACCTAGATTGTCCAATGACGTGGGCATGTATTCAACCACGCGCGGTTGAGTAAGGTTAGCTGTACTCGCTAGGTAGGCCTCTATTTCGCGCTTGTAGCGCTCATAACCAGTTTGTATGAGAAACTGCCGTACCTGCGGCAATCCACTGCTTGGGAGTTCCGTTAGTAAAAGTATGGTCTCTCCGCATGGCCGTTCTTCTAATACAATGGCTCCGGCTTGCATTGCCATGTGATACGGGGCTGGGGCAGGTACTTCAAAGGGTTGCAATTGGTCCTCCGCAAGCTCAGAAGCAGCACGACTGGCTATTCCCGCCAAGTAGTCAGCGATAATATTTGCTTCTCTGGGACGGTACATCCAGGTGCCAAAGTCAAAGAAATTGGCTTGTTTTCGTCTTATTTGTTGTACAATTGGTTGTAAGTCTATTCTTCGAAAGCGTCCTGCAAATGAAAGGTGTTTGATGATTGGGAGGATGTCCCCTTGTAAATATGCTTGCTGAACTACAAACTTCCTTCGCACCAGTTCTTCACTCAGTTGGTCAGCACCTAGATTTGCAGACATTGCTTCCGCAAAAATGTTGTCAGGGCACTTGGGCAGTGCTAGAGCCCTCCATTGCAGGAGAGTTAAGCCTTGTGTCTGCAATTCCAATAAGGCTGCCCCTGCACCTCCTACTCCTTTGTCAGCATGGCAAGATCCATCAAATTGAACAATCAAGGTACCTGCCTCCTGTTGTATGTTGCTACATAGAACATCGTCAGGACCTATCGGCATCAGAGCGGTAATTTTCAGGTGGAACTCTCCACACCCACATCGATAGACCGTTAACTTAACATTTGGTATAATTCCAATTCCAACTTGGAAGGACTGTTGAATTAGTTGCACTTCTTCCGTTCCAAGTTGGACGACACCAACTGTTTGGTTTGTACCGCACGTTTTCGTAGCACAACAGACTCGCGCAGGGACAAGCGTGTACGAGATATGCAGGGGAGGTCTATCTAGACATGCTAGGCTAGAGTCATCAAGATCGCAAACTGCATTGGTCCGCTGCATTCGTATGTGAGCTACTCTCAGATCTGTGGGTAGATCTATATAGACTTTCTGAGTGAGGTTGGTAATCCAAGTCTCGGTATCCACCAATGGGGCAGCAGCTTGATGCCTCATGGCACCGGCTTCTCGTAAGAGTAAACGATATTGATGGACTACTCTGGTAGCGATTGCTAGATGTCTCTTGCTCCTTCTTGAACCATCCAGTAGGGATAAGATGGTGGTGTCATTAGTTAAGTTCCTGAAAGCAACGCTTGGAACTTGGCACCAACGTATCCAGTGTCCAACAGTGTTATCCCCCTTAGTGCATGCAACACAGGGCAAGTATGGTAAGGTTTCAACTGCAGCATTTTGGCCTTGTGCATTGGTCGGTTCTCTCGGCTCAGGTAGTTCTACCGCGTTTATAGTAAAAGCAGTGATCTGCTTAAGGGAAATACAGTTCTCACAAATTGCCACTTGACAACCACCAAGTGGATATGCTCGACCTGTGTTGGAACAGTAGACACAGCATTTGCTTCTGCTCGTTCCTCGCCGGGCTAGCCAATCGTCGTCATCTTCATTGACAGCCCACCTGAGCAATGTAAATCTGGCCATGCTTGGGATCCATCTTTTGCTGGCTGTAAAGGCTTGGGAGAGCCACGTCCAGCTGATTCCTCCCGTCCACCCTGATGCTAATACTTTGTTGTGGATATAACTGGACGCGACTTGCATCATATGACGTAAAATTAGTGTTTTAACTTGATTGATTCTCTGTTTAATGGTCCCGTTGCTTGAAGCAGCCGCAGTTAATAGCTCTTCCCCTACTATGCTTGACCAGGCCTGCCATAGGGCTCTAACTTGGTGTGTCTGTCTATTAACAGGTGGGGGGTATTCACTATATAGTTCGTGAAGTTCACCTCCCTTACGTAAGAATAGACCTAGCGCAGACACAAGTATGCTCAGGCCAGGGTCAAGAAGTGGAGATATCCCGCTCCAGCGAAGGACATAAGCTAGCAAGTCATGTCGTATCCAACTTCGACCTAGGAGAAGTTCAGCGGCTGCAGCCCTGAGCATTTGCAAGTCTTCAGTGGCAGCGCCAAAGTAAGAGGTTGTATAAAGGACCACACTTTGAGCGAAAGTGAAAGCAATGCTTCTTGACACGATTGATAATACAGGTTGCCTGAATAAACGCAGTCTGTGTACAAATTTTTCAGCAGCCTTTGGATTGATGTGTTTCAGTGTTGACGGGTGTGAAGTGGCGTTCCATAAGTCTTTGTCGTTTAGCTGCGACCGTCCTAGTCACAGCAAACCTAGAGATGTGGCTACACCTTGTACACAGTGAGCCCCAAATCCAGCTTGGTCTAGTTGACGGAGAACACAACTTGGAAGTGGGCTATTAACAACAAGGGCAGTCTTACATCTGCATTGGCACTCTATGGCTAGGAGAGAGCTGATGGAGGAGTAATCCATTCCATTCAGAATTTGGCTAGCATTCCTCGGAGTAAGGCCAATACACATTCCTGCTCTAGACAGGATGAGTGTTTTCCTTGGCAGGATAGCAGCCATGATGGCTGACAGGGCGGTGGGATGACAAACCTGTTGGAGAAGACTTTGACTCTCATTCCTTTCTGTCACCGCCTGGGTCTCAAAAGGGGGGCAATCAGAACAGACTGCTTGCCAACATGAATGAGAGTCGATTTGAAAACCGGCTGTGCGGCAAACTTGATAGCAAGTTTGGATGTTCTGAACCCATCCAATATCATTCCCAGGGCCAGCAATCGTGTTGTCATCTATATAACCCTGCACACTTAATACTCGCGGAATTCTGTTCAAGTAGTGGTAACTCGGATCCATCGCAAGGCAAAAGAGAAAGACCGAGAAAGATCTGCCCATGTCTACTCCCACATGCACAGCTCTGGGTGGTAGTAATCTGCCCTGTACTTTGTGGCGAATTAGCCTTCCAAATAATACATACTTGGCATAGTTGCAGACCCAAGTCGGTGCCCCCCTCATCTGCAGGATATATAATATCCAATAAGGGTTGACTCGTTCAAAGGCCTTCGATAGGTCAACTAGGAGAGCCGCCATGGGGACATCACTATCCAGCAATGCTTGGATGGCATTGACTGCATGTTGGGGTTCCTTAAAGCAGTTCATCACTACCTGCGAGGGGTGCATGTATGCACAGGTTGCTTTCATGATAACCGCGGCGATAGTGCCGTCTACTAGCCTGCCACAGGTATTGGGCATTCCAAGAGGCCTGAAGAAATCAGCCGTCGGGCCTAATTTCGCTTTAGGGATCCATACCCCAACTTGGACAGGGGCTGCTCGTGCGCCTGAAATCATTTTTCCCATTAACTGTTCAAGGACTGGATAGCTATCTTCAGGGGATAATCGCCAAGCGGAGTATGGAATGCCATCGGGGCCAGGGGCAGAGTCTTTGGTGCCAAGCAATGTACGGAGGAAATCTTGTTTCTGCGGTAGATCTATGGAGGGCCACGCCGTGGCTGTTTGGTATGCATGTAGAACAGGTTTCCATTCCTGGAATTGATCAACGGGTTCGTCGAACCAGAATTTCCGTGTGTCAAGCATGGCTTCATCCAACATGCAAGACGTAGTACAATGGTCGCCTTTGCTATTTAAGATTGGGCCATTGTACATAACTCCTTTGGGGCAAATCGCACGAAGTCGGTTCCAGAAACTGACGTTGCTTCCAATACCTCTAGCTTGGAGATTGGTTTGTTCAAGGCTCGGATAGTGACGGGAAACTGAGATTTGATCATAGAAATCAAACATCTGTTTAAGGATGT